AGCTTTGCGCAAAATTCAAAACAAACAAAAACAAACAAACACACAAAAAATCAGGATGAATGAGGATGCATATTCGTTTGACATCAATGTTTTTCCCTTTTCTTCAGTTTGTTTGTATTTTTGTTAACTAACATAATAATAAAAAAATTTCATTGTGATAAGCGAAATAATAATTTGATCTAAGTAAGAGATTTTTTTCTTCTTCCCGATTTGTAAAAAAAATCGTTACGTGATAGAAAAAAAAATTAACATTATTTTCGAAATCTACGTAGCTAAATTATGTAAAATGCGTTATTAAAACCAAAACAACTTTTATGACGTTTAAATTCGCAGGCCCGTGCTGTTAAATTATTAGCAGAATTTTACGAGTTAGTTATCACAATGTCCCACAGAGGGAACCACCATGAATCTGTGACGAAGGAGTAAGATAAAGCGATACATTCATTATAAATATGGCATTAGATATTATGCAAAACAGTAGAATAAATGGTGTAAAACAACCGTACCTTGCACAATGAGCTGAATGTTTGTTTCACCTGAACCATAGCCATTGGATACGATACATGTATAGAGGGCCGAATCATATCTGTCAGTAACGGAAATAGTTAGACTTGATTCGACTGTCGACTCGGTCATCGCTTGCCGCACGGAGAACCTGAGTATGGCAGATGAAAGCTATCAGATTTTTGTGATATAAATGTACTATCTTATGCTGCATATCAATTTCTTCTATATTGCTGAGTTTTCTTTAAGTCTACGTTGATATAAAATTATTAACATCTAGGTTTGAAGGGACAGTAGGGTTAAAGTATATCATTATGTAAAGTGAGTTCTTCCAATTATATCTTAACCGTTCAAAAGCATTACAGTAAAAGTACTACAAGTGAGACCCCATAGCAAGATGCGATAAAACAGAAACCTTATAGCAAAATGTACTGGAACAGAGACCTTACAGCAAAAGCATTAGAACAAAGACCCTATAGAAAGAAACACTAGGACAGCGACCTTATAACAAGACGCACTAGAACAGAGACCTTATAGTAAAAGCGTTAGAACAAAGACCCTATAGAAAGAAACAGTGGGACAAAAACCCTATAGTAAGACGCGACAGCATAAAGACCTTATAGCAACTCGAAAAACCACAGTATATACATTCAAAACACTGTAATTTTAAACAAAGAACCTAACATCAGTAAAAGAAGCTATCTTAATTTAAGAAAACAGACCCACCCTAAATCAGCACCTCGAGGTACCAAGATAGCTATATTAGACTGTGAAGCAATATCCAATCATGTGACCCCTTTGTTCTATACTCTGTATATACTCATGTATTTCTGTAAACTACTTGGACCTGAGGATGACAGTATCTTGTCGAAACATAATAAAGTTTTTTTCCTAACCCAGTCAAGTCGTCTCAAACTTTTGTTTTCTAAAAAATGGGTTCCTGGTTATTAAACATTAGAACAGAAACCTTATAGCAAGACAAACTAGAACAGAGACCTTACAGCAAAAGCATTAGAACACAGACCCCCATATGAAGATGTAGTAGAACACAAACCTTATGCAAGATACACTACAACAGAGACCTTATAGTAAGATGCACTAAGAAGGGGGGTCGTATAGTAAGATGCACACATTGTGATTTATTAATTTAAATAGGGTTTAGATAACGAAAACCTATGCTGTCAGAATGAAACGACATCCACGAAAGTTCCAAAAAGCAAAAAGGTGAATAAAGCCCTTAAAATGTTTCATATAATAACCAACTGTGGTTTCATAGAAAGAGATCTGATCAGTAATCTCTTCAGCAATGCAATTTTATTGTGAGACAACAACAGAATGAGGAGGTAATTGGTTCAATAATTATTTATTTCATTGCAAACTTACAAAACTTGAAAACCCTGATGGATAATTACTAATAGCAATATGATTTTACTAGATTGAATATAGGTGTTTTAAAATTTAGTGACATAACCGATTTAATTATTTGATACTCGTTCTATAATATTAAGCAATCTTATTAATAAATGCTTTTCTTCCTCAAATTTTAACATTGATCAATCTGATTAATAGA